CCCCTGGAAAATTAGATTGAGTTCTACATATTAACATGACAGGATTCTGCTTTTATTGTTTCTCCTGATAACAAAAATTAATAGGATTGTAATCAAAACCCAGCCATTGAAAAATAATAGGTAATTATCTTAATGTAAAAAAATCCTGACTTTGCAGTAGCAAAAGCAGATTTTTCATTTTTGGTCCTGAAATGGTCTGAAAGCAGAGGTGAAATGCTACCGGTTCAGACTGGTTCACCCGAACTGGTAGTAAAAAATGCTACCAGTTCGCCTGAACCAGTAGTAAAAATGCTACTGGTTTGGACGAACCGGTATTTCCAACGTACAGCTGTGAGGCATGATGTATATTAGCTAGAATCATCGAATTTCCTGCTTTCTAGCTTATCTAAATCATGTGGCACAGCAGATTCCCACCCCTACCCCACCCCCACTTTGCTGTTCTACTTACCTTTGCAGACTCGGAAAGCTTCAAAAGTTTCCTTTTTTTAGTGCTCTTTAAAATAGTCCAGGCACATGGTCCAACAATGAATGCTGTTTTAATTTTTAAGTTACATTAAGAATCTTACAGACCAAGGCTGCTGTTGTTATTGTTACTAATAAATTTATTATAATATTCAATTATATTTTGAGGAACAATATCACAGGTATGCTAGCAATAAAAACCTACAACTATAATATTTTCCAATAAGCTATTCCTTATCTTATTGTCATTTGCAAATATCATTTTATGTTCAGGCCTCTTTACACCATTAGCTGCTTTTAAAAAATTACCATAATAATGTTGAAAGTCCCCTGTGTGTACTTAATCCTTATTTGTCCGTGGTTGTTTTGATTTCAATTCTATCAGCTTCACTTTGGATCTTTGGTGGGTGGGGGACAATGGCAATGTAACAAAATTGGTAACAAAAATAGCAATAACTGCCAAACTCTCTCTCTAATTGGTTCTTAGGAAGAGATTAAACCACAAAGTTCTGGTTCATGTTCTTTATGAGATCTCATAAAAATATAGATCACAAATGTTATAAATAATGAAGTAAATGAAATTAACATGAGAACATGCAGGATATTTTCATGAATAGTTAAAGTTTATGGAGTCCCCCCCCCCCCCCAGTGTGGTTACAAAAGAAAGGAGTGGAAGACAGAATGATGCTTTTCTTCTTTTTGAGGTAATGTGGCTAGCCAAGTATTCTAGCTAAAAAGAAAGCAGAAGTGACTGCTTTTGCCCACCCAAAAAAAGACTTTCTTCTCTCTCCACAGTTAGTAGATTGTACAAAAAATGGATGCCTTTCTATGAGGTGTCTATAATAAAGGCACATGCTTTGGTGTACAATGTAATTAAACATAAATGCTTCCTTACATAGTTAAAGGAATCTTTCAGTACCTGTCCTTGCAGTAGCTCCATGTACTATAAGCTCAACATTCTATTTACAGTTGCTGGAGTATTTCTTAACCGCAGCCTGCAGAATTCCTTGTGGCCACCAGCTGTTTTCTAGGCAGTGACACTTGTCTTGTTGTTGGCTACTGTAGCATTTCTCTGTCTACATGCAGAACAAATGCCAACTTCCAAGCAGCATACTTATTTTTCTGTTTATTGTTAGAATAAACAATGTGGTAAGTCAATATTGAGTGTCACACGCTAAGCTACCAAAAATACTATTTCTAAACCATTAATTGGGTCTTAAAAACAATAAAGATGCTTATTTGTAGTTTCTAAATGTGTTTCTCCAAAAAAAGGAACAAGACTTTTGGGGGGAATGCATACCCCTATTCTCAGTATTAATGCTGCCTTGCCTTGAGAGGTGGTCATTGTTAAGTTTTAGATCATGATGCCTCCTTTATCTTGTCTATCCAGAGATCCTATAATCACTGGCTAGGAAAGTAGAAGTTGCTAGGAAAAAATTGCTAGGAATTCTTTTTCAAGAATTGAATCAAATTTTGAATATTTATCTCAGGTCTTTTTTAAAACACTCAAATTCTAACAGGGATTTGGGATAAAAACTTTAGCAACAGCTGTTGCTCTCTTTACCATCTTCTTCAAAGTAGTTTTGAATATTCAGAGGATATAACCTGTTGTAGACTTATAGGGCTTCTAAGTCAAAACAAGTTCCTTTCCAGGTGAAAACAAAGCTCTAGAAAGCAAACCTGAAGGTTTAAAATCTTATTTATGCACCTTGGTATTTACTAAGGTCCTAAGTCCTGTTGGTCCAAAGTCCTGTTGCTCAATGGTCCAAAGTCCTCTTTTCTGATGAGAGCAACTTTTGCATCTCATTTGGAAACCAAGGACCCAAAGTATGGAGGAAGAATGGAGAGGCCAATCAAGCACAGTAATCCCACGGTCATTGAACCAGTTTTTGGTGCTTTTGGCAAAAGGACTTTGGACCACTGTGCTTCATTAAGACCAGGGTCAACGCAGCAGTCTGCCAGGAGATTTTGGAGCACTTCATGCTTCCTTCCGCAGACGAACTTTATGGGGATGCTGACTTCATTTTCCAACTGCCCACACTGCCAAAAGCACCAAAACCTGGTTCAATGACTGTGAGATTACTGTGCTTGATTGGCCAGCAAACTTGCCTGACCTGAACCCCATAGAGAATCTGTGGGGCATTGCCAAGAGAAAGATGAGAGACATGAGACTGAACAATGCAGAAGAGCTGAAGGCCGCTATTGAAGCATCCTGGTCTTCCATAACACCTCAGCAGTGGCACAGGCTGATAGCTTCCATGCCATGCCACATTGAGGTAATAATTGCTGCAAAATAGGCCCAAACCAAGTACTGAGTACATATGCATGCTTATACTTTTCAGAGGTCCGATATTGTTTTATGTACAATTCTTGTTTTATTGATTGCATGTAATATTCTAATTTTCTGAGATGATGGGTTTCGGGTTTTCATGAGCTGTACACCATTATCATCACAATTATGACAAATCATGGCTTGAACTATCTTGCTTTGCATGTAATGAGTCTTATCTCATATATTATCTCATATATTAGTTTCACCTTTTAAGTTGCATTACTGAAATAAATGAACTTTTGCACGATATTCTAATTTTTTGAGTTTCACCTGTAGCTCTCATTGAAATATGATGGGTTAGTTCTTCAAGGAAATGTACAGTTATTGATTTTTTTGAAAAAGAAACTTTAAAGATGAGTCCTTATATCTATCCTCATTATGCTTCTAAAGCATCAGACTTGAGACTTATTATTTAAATGCTTTCATCTTTGATCAACTGGAAGGAAGACAGATTGTAATAAATTGTTTTAACTGAAGAGAAATAAAGATTCATTAAATCCCAAGTAGCCACATACAGTAAGAATTTTGCAACCTATTTTCTCTTACAAGAGCTATAAATAAAGCAGACAATTTTTAAGATTAGTCAAATACCTCTGCACTGATATTAAGTGCAAATTATATGTGAGTGGCAGGAATAATTCCCTTCTATTCATGCTTTTCAGATTTTAAATCCTGTGCATGTTTGGTCCTAGTAGTATTGTGCATAAGAAAAACAGAAAACCTCTGTTTGGGGAACCATAAAGAACAAAAGAACACTAAACTAGTTACAATACCTAAGATCTATCCCTCTCCAATAATAAAACAAAACCAGCCCACTATTGTGTAGCCATGCCCCAAGTTTCACAAAAAGAATGGGAGAAGTTGAAGAGAATATCCATTTAAACTCCAAATAGCGGTAACACATGATGCTATATTCCATACTCCTTATTACCTAGAGCAGAAATCCCAAGACAAATTTACAAGCTGTTTTCAAGAAAGTATCTGTTGTCAGTCTGTCATCATAGATAATAACTTTTCCCGTTTATTAAAGATGTCGATATTTGCTGTTCAGTTTTGTGATTTATCTTGCATTTAAGCATGTTTAATGAATTCCTGCCATCAATATTCTATTTCCTGTACCAATTTTGTTTTGTTTTTAAATAGAAGATTCTCACCTGCTTCTTCTATTCTTAAATGATTTTGTTGGCTACAGTTTTAAGTTATACTTATTCTGGCTTTCCTTTAAAAGCTTTACCTTTACAGAAGTTGTATTGCCTCAGGAATTCTCAAATAGCAGTTTGGGTTATTTTTAAAAAATGTTTATAAATTCAATTGATTAATATGGAAGTTCCCACTCACAAAGTCACTTTGGGTAAATGGAAACAAATACGTGAAAAGTTCTATGACCTATTTTGCAATTCATTCTATCAATTGTAAATTGAAATTTAATTTAATTCAAAGCAAATATGTGCAGTTACATGTAATGTATAGCACAGTTTTTTTGTGGAACTATGCTAAAATAAATTAATCGTGACTGGCAAATTATGAGATCAGCTACATTAGAAAGAAAAGGGTTTTACAATATACAAACACAAATAGGATGTAATGATAAGTTGCCAGATTTGCACAAATATGAGTAGTAAATGAAGTTGAAAGAAAACTTTGAAAAGTTTATCATGTTTGAAAATTCAGAAGTATGGCAAGTATCTTAGAAAGGGAACAAATTATAAATGAGGTTGTTGTTTCAGGTAACTGTTTACTGGATCAACCACGAAAACATATCTTAGGTCCCGAGGAGCTTCCAGGACAAACATATGATGCCATTCGCCAATGCAAGCTGGCATTTGGACCTGAATACACAGTGTGTCCTGGAATGGATGTGTGCTCTCGTCTGTGGTGTGCCGTCGTTCGCCAAGGTCAAATGGTGTGCTTGACCAAGAAGCTTCCTGCTGTGGAGGGGACACCATGTGGAAAAGGAAGGATCTGCCTACAAGGGAAATGTGTTGATAAGACAAAGAAAAAATATTATTCAGTATGTTGCTGTTTTACTTATAAAACTAGGTGAAGTTTTAATCACATTAGACACATTTAGTTTGATCACATTAATCTTATTTAATTAATGTTTCAAATAGAATAATCGCTTGGAAGAGTGATCAAGGATTCCCACATTCCTTTATTGAGGTGCAATTGACATTGGAGCTCTCTTTTGCTCATTTTATTGAAAATTTTATCTTATCAACCATACATGCCTTTTGATGCCATATGGTGTACCATTCTAAATACCTAATTAGGGCTTTCATCTTTAGTGTAACAAATTTACTGAAAAGTTGAAGAATTTCCTTATAGACTAATGTGATCATTCATTAAATGACTGACTGAACATTGTTCATGCATTAATTTATTATAGTTTCTCCAAATTTCTGCACATCTGGAAAGTATTATATAATGCAACAGCCTGGAACATTATTAAGATCAGTGACTGACCAATGTCATGTACCTTTATTTTAAAGACAATGTTGTTGTTTTTAAATAAGAATATTTAGTTTATTCAAGGAAAGTTAAAATACTAAAAAAAAAAATAATAAAACAGAATTATAAAATAGGAATCTAAGTAGAGATGTAAATAAGGACATGGTGGCTCAGTGGCTAAGATGCTGAGTTTTCTTGATAAGTATGGTTGGCAGTTTGGCAGTTCGAATCCCTAGTGCCATGTAACGGAGTGAGCTCCTATTATTTGTCCCAGCTTCTAGCCAACCTAGCAGTTGGGAAGCCTGTAAAAATGCAAGTAGAAAAATAGGAACCACCTTTGGTGGGAAAATAACAATGTAACACACTGGCCACATGACCACGGAGATGTCTTCGGACAGTGCTGGCTCCTTGGCTTAGAAATGTAGATGAGCACTGCCCCCTAGGGTCGGGAATGACTAGCACATATTTGCAAGGGGAATCTTTACCTTAAGTATAGATGACCGATACTTGACTTTTTCCCACCGGTTCCACCACAAAACCACGTTCGACTAAAGCGCGCTTGACGAAACCGCGTAGCTGACATCATCAACAGGGCAACAACAGCGTGGAGACAGAAGCACATTGTAAACGCTAAACCTAAAATTAACCCCTAAACCTAAACCTAACCCCCCTAAACCTAATCCTAAACCTAACCCTAAACCTAACCCTTAACCTAACCCTAAACCTAACCCTAACCCTAACCCTATTCCTAACCCTTAACCTAACCCTAACCCTAACCCTAACCCTAACCCTTAACCTAACCCTAAACCTAACCCTAACCCTAACCCTAACCCTTAACCTAACCCTAAACCTAACCCTAAAGCTAACCCTAAACCTAACCCTTACCCTAAGTTGAATCGGCTTGCTTTCAAAGCACTATTTAAAGCGCCCTTCTTTCTCCGTGCTCGCTGTTGTTGCCCTGTTGATGACGTCAGCGATGCAGTTTAATCAGGTGCGGCTTAGTCGAGCGTGGTTTTGTCATGCCACGTTTCCCAGCTACCATCAATTGGTATTCTATAATATGGTGAAATTTATGTTTTAGGCTTCAAACCATGGCAACTGGGGATCCTGGGGACCATGGGGACATTGCTCTCGTTCATGTGGTGGAGGTGTCCAATTCACCTATCGGCACTGCAATAACCCAGCACCTAGAAACAACGGTCGATATTGTACAGGAAAACGCGCTGTCTATAGGTCCTGTAACATCATGCCCTGTCCTGCCAATGGTAAGATTTCTATAAACCAAAAATAGCAACAAAAGCAATACAAAGGCTAGGTTAGACTATAGCCAAAAACATGGGTAAAAGCATGACCAGAATCTATTGGTCTGTTTTTGCATATCTGAATTCCAAATGTTTAACAATAATAATAAAATTAATAGTTCCTCTATGGCTAAAAAGAAAAAGAAATGAAATTAAGATGTTATATTGATTTCTCGGAGAGGAAGTGCTGTGAATTAAGTTCAGATGGGAATTTTGAGAAAATTCTGGGCTCAGAGTTATGTAAATCTAAATTATTTGCAGCAAACTCTACTTGGTGAACAGCCTGGGAAGAGACAAAGTTCCATTTTAGTTCTGTGTACACAAATCCAGTCTCTCCAGATATCATACAGTATTGGTCAGGTTGTAGGAAGCATAGTTAAAAAGAAACAGAAGGATTGTCTTTGCCAATACAATGGTAATCTCGTCACAATTCCAGATCTGGTAGCTACAAGCTAAAAAGGTGACTATCCTACACTGTCCTGTATCACAGTTATGTTTTCTGTTGCCTGTGAAAGGAAGTTGAAATTAGTAGTAGAGGGGAACTAATTAGACACAACAGCTTGGCCATCTGTATGGCCTGTATAGAAGGCTTCTGTGGTTGGTCTATTTATTTGTTTGTTTGTTAATTGCATGTATATGGTCGCCCATCATATGTCAAACTCAACATGTGGCTTACAAGCTGCAGGTGGCTTGCATTACTACAGTGAATGGTACACAAATCATCATAATGGAACTTCATTAGTGATGGGTATTGTAGACAAATGTTTTTTTTTTTTTTATTAAGTAAGTGTTTTTGGCTTTTAACTGCTTTGTCCTGAAATAGAACCTGACTCTTACAGTACTGAGGTGTTAGAAATACACCCCTGGTGTTTACATTAACTTTTGAGACACTATCCACACAGTATGAATAATAATGAATGAGTTCTTCTTCAGCTAAAGCTTTCCGCCAAGAACAATGTGAAGCAAGAAATGGTTACCAATCAGATGCAAAAGGTGTCAAAACTTTTGTAGAATGGGTCCCAAAATATGCAGGAGTGCTCCCAGGAGATGTTTGCAAGCTTACCTGCCGAGCTAAAGGAACTGGCTACTATGTAGTTTTTTCTCAAAAGGTAAAACTCTGCTTGCTTATCAAATATTTACATTTCTGAAGTTTTATGTATAGAATGTTCACTAGTAAAATCAGTATACGTATATGATTGTTGTTTCAGAGTTCAGCATGTAGTAGCCCTGACTGGATTTCTTTAAACAGTTGGAGAAAGCTAGTCTAATATAAAATTGCATATTTTATTAATATATTATTATTAGATATAAACTATTATTAGGTGTATTAACAATGTTCTATATTTATCCATAACGTTTATTGTTTGTGTGTCTGTGTGCAACTAAAAATGAAAAGAAATTCAAACATAGTTATTTGTCGAACAGGTGACTGATGGAACAGAATGTAGGCCATATAGCAATTCAGTATGTGTCCGTGGAAAATGTGTACGAACTGGATGTGATGGCATTATTGGTTCAAAACTCCAGTATGATAAGTGTGGGATTTGTGGTGGAGACAATTCCAGTTGCACAAAAATTATAGGACACTTTAATAAAAAGAGGTAAGTAAGAAATAAACAATACAATAAGTCATTTTCACCCAAATTCTCTATTGTCATAGGAAATAGCATTTATTCAGAATTCAGAACAAAATGTATTTTATAGAACAAACATATGATAAAGAATATTGTATCCTATATTACAATGGTCCCATGCTTGGCTATCAAAGTTTTAAAAATATATATGCAGGGTATACTCAGATATGCAGTGGAACTCATCAAGAGACAGATCTGTTGCCTCCGTATTTACTTACTGAGAACTTAGGAATTTAATAAGATTCTAGCTCTATGAGGACAAAGAACTATTCTGTAACATGTAGTGGTCAACTAGATAAACCGGAGAAGCTCACTACAGGAACGGAGAGTTAAAACTCTTACCCATGTTGGCAGCTACTATTTAATATATTCTGTCTCATTCAAGAAGCAGAAATCAAGATTTTAGTTACATTTGTCCCTATGCTAAAAAAGGTAAATTGGTACTTGTCCCATTTGATAAACTGCATGGACTATGTTAATTAAGAAACACATTACCTTAAAATCCAGAAACATTCCATATTTGGTTTTAGTGAATTTGAGTCAGAGGTGGGTTGCTCATGGTTCGGCCAAATCAGTAGTAGCAGCGTCGGGGGCTGCATGTGCAGAAGCATTGCGCATGACAGCAAGTGCACACGTGACTACGCCCAAACTGGTAGTAAAAAAAAACCTCTGATTTGAGTGACAATTTCTATGCAAGGCATACTTTTATCAATTTTTTAAATAAAAAATATCCTTTTAAGACTTTGCAATACAGTATCTTTTTTGAACTTTTTATTCAGGCCAACTAATTTGGCTATCTTTCTATTACATGTCACTCAGTCATCTATAAACAAAATTGAAAAACAGTGATCTCAGACCCCAAACTTGATGTTGTTCCATTTTGTATGTTTCTCCAATGTGAACACCATCTGTTTATTTCTTCTTTCTGTTCTGTAGCCAATTACTAGTCCAAGGGATTTTTGTAGTTGTTTTAAGTGAGGAGTTTTGTGAAAGATTCTTTTTTTTAATCCAAGTATACTATACCTATTAAAGTAGCTTTTTGAAAGTGAAGGCCATATTTAAACCTTTTGAAGGAATCAGAGTGTGAAGGCCTTTTGCATTTTGGGGAACAAATGTCAGGTGTTTGCTTTGCTTGGCTGACTTATTTTTTCTTTGTTTCAGTAAGGGCTATACAGATATTGTTAAAATACCAGAAGGAGCGACACACATCAAAATACGACAGTTCAAAACGAAAGACCACAGTAGATTCACTGCTTACTTGGCTTTGAAAAAGAAAAATGGTGAATATCTTGTCAATGGAAAATACATGATCTCAACTTCAGAGACCATCATTGACCTCAATGGAACAGTTATGAACTATAGTGGCTGGAGTCACAAAGATGATTTTTTGCATGCCATGGGACATACAGGCACCAAGGAGAACTTGATAGTACAGATTCTTGCAACAGATCCAACTACACCAGTGGATGTCCGCTACAGTTTCTATGTGCCAAAGAAGCAAACCCAAATGACAAATTCTGTCACTAACAACAGTAGTAACAAAATTAGTCCATCACTTGCTGAACCCCAGTGGATAACTGGACCATGGCTTTCTTGTTCTCGAACATGTGATACAGGGTGGCATACAAGAACTGTCCAGTGTAAAGATGGGAATGGAAAATTAGCTAAAGGCTGTCTTCTGTCTCAAAGACCTTCAGCATTCAAACAATGTTTATTTAAAAAATGTTAACCTGTGGTTACCGACTTCTTCAAAAGGAGTCTTCTTGAATCTTATTTGGCATATTGACATAAGATCTACCCAGAAACAAAAGGAAGACAATGCATCAATATTCTCTCATATTCTTGGCAATTGTTCTTGGTAGGACATGCCTATTAGGACCAAAAGGAGATATGAGCTGGTCCTATGAGGTGATCTCAATATGTCAAAAGCACTAAGTGTTAGCTGTTACGAGCCCTTTGTATCTGCAAATAAGAGGATAAGCCAGTGGAGAAGTTATAATGGGATATCCAGTTACAGAATCATCTCCCTTTTCTCACCTACCTCTAACATAGGATGTCTTTAGACACTTGTCAAAATTACCCATGATTCTACAATAGCTTCTTTTATACTATTTGTAAATATCTTTGCTTTGGTATGTCACTTTATATCACTTGATTTTCTTACAACGAACAGCAGCCTTTATGTTTAACACAAGTGATTGACCAAAGTACTAGTACGCCTGCAGCCACTGTTGACTCATATGCCTTTCTTAAAATAAAAAAAAAGTGGCTGTTAGTATTTTACTGGAAAACTAAGAGGTTGCTGCTTTAAAGAAAAAAAGTAATATCTTTCTGACAACAGGAAATACATTTCTATTCTAAAAATTTCCTGACAATAGAATTTATTCTATATTAATGCCTTTCTGATGAGGAATTTTTATAGGCACAGTCTGCAGCAGTAGAAAAGGAAAAAAGGCTGCCAGTATGATGCTTTAAAATTTGAAAAAGAAATGTATTTTATTTTATCCATGTAGAACAAGAGTCCTCAACCCCCGGGCTGTGTCCCATTCAGAACCAGGCCACGGAAGTGTGCCTGCTGTTCATGTGGAACCATCCTTTCCCCCACTACCTGTCCGCAAAGACGGAGAGGTTGGAAATCGCCCATTTAGAACACTGTACCTCAGAAATTATCAAACTAACGAAAGATGTGCCACAAATAGAGATAGAAGGAATTCATTACATGGGAACAGCACACATAATATAAAGGTGAAGCCTCCCCCAATTGCCATGTTTAGGATATGACTAAATCCAGACTGGATGCAGCTAGAGTCTAAAGTTCTTGGGGCATTAGCTTTCTGTTGTCTCCCTTTCTGCTACTTCCTTTTCATCTCTATTTTTACTACCTCTTTCCGTATCTGCCACTTCTTTCCCTCTCCTTTTTCATCTCGCAGTTGCTATGGGAGAGGCAGATGACTCTTGTTAGAGATCTGTACTAACTGTTGACACATTTATTTTGAAAGCAGTCTGAAATTGCATGTGGGTTACTCATCCCCAATATATGGAAAGGGGAAATTTTGGTGAGACACTGGGTCATGCCATAAGTGTCTTCCAGCTCAGATTTATGAAATCTGTTCACCTCTGTTTTCCCTATTAGTTTTGAAGTGGTTCCTACTGGAAATCTAACAGCGTGCCATGAATTTGGCCTGTAGGGAAGAATTTTACTGTGGTTAAGCAAAAACATTGGGGTTTTTTCATGAAGCAATTTTTTGTCTAGTTCTTTTTATATTTGGCTGAATGTTACCAAGCACTACAGTCCAAAGTTTTGCACCTGCTCAGATTGGGTACATATCTTATGTGCACAAACTGCCCCATAATTTCAAGGATGATACATAACCTTTGGCACATGTATATCAGCTTCTTCAGTGAAATGAATTGGGTGTTCATTCAGCAGCACTTCAAAAATTACCTACACCTGAATAAATGGGGAGAATCCATGAAATATTTTTGTTGTTTTCAAATCATAGATGTATTTATTTTTTAAGTCATTACATATTTTTTTAGATAAGGCTTTAGTTTCTACCTACTTTGGGGAGTAAACTTTATTGAATTTAGAAGTAATTGAATTACTTATAGATAAAAGTTTTAATTGTAAAACTGAAGTCCTAAAAGTACTTATTAGGGAGTAATAAACAAAATGAGAATTTTCAGATTGAACATCTATAGGATTGCACTGGAAAGATCAAAAGAAAATAAAGCCATATTTAGTTTTGGGAGCTGTAGCTTACTCTCATAAGATTATTTTCAGAAAGAAAAGTCTATTTTTTACCAACTATAGGGAAATGAATTTCCAGTTAGAAAAGTAATATAAATACCTCATCTGAATCAAGATAAATTAATTGACATTTAATATATAGTATTTGGCTGAAATATTAAAATATAGAAAACAGAGATGGTATCTTTGTTACCAGTGCCTTCCGTTATATTTTGAGTACAGACAAATCAAGCTGCTTTAATTTCCAATGGAATTTCATTACAAATTTCATTGGAGCCATAAATATATATATTAAATATTGAATTTTTATGAACATTACAATCTAAAACCATTGCACTTAAATAATTGCTTCTATCACCAGCTTTTAATATTGCTGTGGATGGAATGCATCATTTTAAGAATTTGTTTTCTGAGGCAATGATTTTTAGGGGGAAGAAATCTGACTATTTGTTTAACCTACCTTGTTATAAAAGCCCTGTTTACATGTGTGAAGCCTACAGCTTTGAGATTTCATGATTCCACACAGACATTTTAGATTAGTAATAGAGTTATCACAATTTACAAATAAATAAACTGACTGAATTAGATGCAATTATCCATGATACAAAACAGTTGCAGTTTCATATCTTCAGGCCATCAAGTGATATAAGATTCCAATTTCTCAGTGCACCATAGGAACCTACATGTCTGGTTTCTAGAAAATATCTCTAATTGTAATGAAATACAATTCTATACTATTAGTTAAGAGAATGTCACTAGGAATGCACATATTAAGGCAGATATTTCAGAATATTCTCATCAAAAGCAATGCAATGTACATGAACATTACGTTTTATGTACATTTAGATGAGTAACTGCATATATAATTGTATACATTTCTGAATCACAGATCCACAAAGGCACAAAATTTTATAGAGTTCTTCTCTGGATTGTGCTATAAAACAATAGTTTTATCTGTTTTGGCTTAAGAAAAATATTCAACCATACCATACGCAGGTTTGTAAGTGAAAATACACTTTTGTGTTGAGAAAATATGCAGTGTTTTCTTTAACTTTCTCAGAATTCAGCCAATTTCTATTATTATTATTAGTATGTAATAGAGAAAAGGCAGTACAACATAAAAACATAAACAATGGTCCCAATTCAGCTCCAAGTTTCAAAATTTATTCTTTTAATAATTAAGAATAAATTTCATTTCATACTATGTTCATATTCTACTCTTATTTCAGCATTTCCTGAAACTCCTTGATTTTGTCATTATATACACACATGCACACAAACAAATACACTGTATATACATACATGTATACATAGATAAATACCTACATGGAGTTGTAACAGTAAAGTGATTTTCTCCTGTGCTTGAGGTTTTCACCTAACAACAATCATCACATTGTCAGCCAGGAAAGAGTAATCAATGGAAGAATCTTTGAAGTTGATAGGATGCACTCAGATAGCAGTCTACGTTACGTAGCATGTGTAAGTAAGATAGATAGTTTTAAATAAAAGCATGGGAAAAATTGGGTTTCAGTTCTTTACTATATCATGACTAGAATTGTATTAACATGTGAGAGTGGTTGTAAATTTTGGCAAGCAGTAAGTTGAAAAATTAAACTGATGTGTATATTTCAGCTTTTTCCCATAGGCCTGCACTTTCCTCTACTTCTGTTTTTGTTTCATCTTCACATCCTCTACACTACTTTGTCTGTTTGTAAATGTGACGCTGGTGCAAATTGTATTATCTTATAGTCTAGAGACTAATTTGGAATTAGGCTATTTTCAAGGACTCCGATCTAGTTACTACTCAATTATTCTGTTTTTCTGAAAATCTTATCAGCTAAATTAGATTAAATTGAATACTAAAGTCTCAGTTTATTACCAGATTTTGATCATTGGTAAGACCCTTCTCTGTGTTCCTGAACAGTCACCTAAGCCATAAAGTATGTATTTACAGTACCTAAATGTAAGTGCTAAAACCCAAATCATGGGTTCTTTGGAACACATGGGAAATAGTGGCATGTAGACTGTCAAAAAAACCTACTCAAATTAATTGAATATGTAGCAATTTTCCCTTTAAGTAGTAGTTGTGATAGAAAGGAAATCAATGAAAGTATGCAATGAAAATACGCTGGCAACTGATGAAACAGACGTACAAATGAAAACATACAAAAAGAAAAAAAGCAACACAGCACTGAAAAAATAATAATTTATTGTGCTTTTTTACAAATTGGTATGTGAATGGATGTAATAAATTTATTTATATTATTTAACATGAAATGCCAATTGTAAAAATTATTCTATATTTATATTGTTTTTCAATCATTATTTTGTCTATTTTTCCTCTTCTCTTTTATATTTATGTCTTATATTTGAATCAAAAGTGCTATATGAATTTATCCCACACGGCACTAGTTGCTTTTATATTGTTTTTTTAATATTTCTTTTAAACAGAACATGTGTAAGTGAATGTGGTGCATGAAAGTGTGTGTATGTTAAGCAATATGAATAAATATATTTGGGTGCATGGAAGTGTGGCTGTATCACATATATAAACTTACTAAATGCATACACATAGGTACCAAATTATCACATTTTTCAGTGGTTGTTACTTCCTTAAGCTTCAGTGTGGAAATACAGTTTTCAACACAAGTTAGGTATAATAGGGGGGGAAAATCTTGAAAAAGTCTACTTATGTCACCTATGCATTCTAAACAATTGTATCGGTGAAGAGCTTCGTTTAGATCGGGGTGTCAAACACATTGTCATGTCGGCATCACATGATGTATGGGGACTTTTTTCCCCTTTGCTAAACTGGGTGTGGCCAGCCCGGATTTAGATAAAGGGGCCTAAACTTCTCTTTTCCCGCAAGGAATGTTAAAAATGAAAGGTTTTAGATTTTAGATTTAGATTTAGATTTTAATAAGACTTATAGGCCGCCCTTCTCCCTGAGGGGACTCAGGGCGGCTTACAATCACAAANCAGATTGTTGGGGGCAATATGCTGACTCTCTGTAAACCGCTTAGAGAGGGCTGAAAGCCCTATGAAGCGGTATATAAGTCTACTGCTATTGCTATTTTATTGTTTTATTTTGCATCTTTGTATTTTTTCCCCATACGCGCAGTTGCCTAGAAATTGTTCTGTGTGTACGTGGAACATTATAAAATGAGTAAAAAAACATGCCAGCAATGGCATGGTCGACTGGGGAATCGGTTCAGGGGCTGGGCCAGCCTGCTGTCCCTACTGATTTAGCAACCCAGTCCTAATTTCCACTACCGGTTTGCCTGAACTGGTGCAAACTGGTAGCAACCTACTGGTGGGTTGCTTGTTGTTTTTTTTGGGGGGGGGAGTGGGGAGTGGCAGGTTGGGAGGTAGAGGGGTTTAAATTTTCTCCTGGGGTTTGAATGAGCAACTCTTACATTCATTTATATATGTATGTATTATGTATTTATTTCTTACGTTTATTTGCAACCAATCTCACTATGAGGTGACTCTAAGAGACTTACAATGTTAAAAAGTATACAACAATACAACAAGATATGTACAGTGAAACACTATAAAAGATCAAATTATCTTTTTGGAAAAGAAGGATGTGATTAAAGGCTAGTCTCGACCATTTCTGCATTTAAAAACATGTAGTATTTTTTGGTGATGGTCTAAACTAGTCAGTGCTAATAAGACTTAACTTGGTAGGAGTGAAATACAGGGAAGGTCAAATGCTGGAGGAAAACTCGTAACTCAAGATTGAATAGCCAATGTAGACTCCAATCATCTTCCAATTCAAGAAGCTAGCTTGTAGTTGCATGTCTGCATACCAGGTGAATTACTGCTTCTACTGGGGTATTTTTAATCCTTTGCTAT